TCAAATGATATATCTCTCTCATATTTTATCTTACAAAAATTAATTTGTATGACACTTAATAAATATATATAATTTTTGAAAAATGCCACTTTTCAAAATTAATCAAAAATACTATCAATTAGATTTTTTTTCAAAAGTGTCACTAATCCTCTATATATTATTGAGTAGATATTTGGTGAAAAAATTCATATGTGTTATTCAATAAGGTTTTTAAGGAACATGTCATTTAAATTAACCAATAAATATATGCCATGGTAAAAATTTACATATTTTTATTAATTTTAAAACATAAATCCATTAATACGTGTTCTACAGATTTAAGTTTAACTAAATATAATATTTAGACTTACAATATATTTTTGAAATTGATATATTAAGAATTTTTTCATTATTATATTTGTAATAACATTATTTATTTGTAGATGATAACTACACTTACAAATATTTTTCTATTTTATTATTAAAAAATATATATTTTTTGTTTGTCATGTCCGACAAATTCATATAAATCTAAAAATTCATTTGATTTATTGCATATTCTATAATTTACACATCATAAAAATTTATTTACATTTCAAATTAATTGATATAGATAACATTTTTATTAGTTTTAATATTTTTATGCAAATTTGATCAGAGCATATGACATCAAAATTGTTTGATCAAAATTTAACTTGATTACATTTAAGCACCATACATATCATTTTATAGGTTTATAAATATTATAATACACGTCTAAATATTAAAATCAATTAGAAAGCATATTAAAATATCTAATCCCACGCCTGGCGTGGGTCAAAATCTAGTATTTACATTATTAGAAAAGAAAAATTGTCCAACAATATACTTGTGTATGGTAGAACTTAGGCATAAGATCACAGTATAAATTCGTTAAAGTTTCACGTTCGATTCTTTGTGACGAACAATCGATCTACTCGTAGACTAGTTCATATTTTAATTAATTTTAGTCTTTTTTAACATGATAGACTTAGTTAAGGAATATTGTGTTTATCTATCAGATTAGCCATGATAAATCGGCATTATCGATGTAAAATCCAAAAAAGTTTCACGTTCTGGAAACCAATTCCAAAAACATTTTGAAAGTTGGTTGCAAGTTGTAACGAATGATTTTTCATCTTCTTCTTAGCTACTAATCAAATTTCACACGATGTAT